GGAGGGCTGTTTCGTAGGATGACAGTAATCCAGGTGGGAGATAGCCACCTCACATGAGACAGTAGTGAAGGCACTGGAGAGGAGGAGACAGAATTGGGTGTTTTAGGAGTTAAAATACAGAACGTGGTGACCTGTGAGTGTTTGGCCTCTTAGAATCTCTTTTGTCACCCACATATTCCGTGTCCAAACACAACACTGTTTTAAGTAACGCTAAAAGGTTTTTAGGGCACAAAGATGTGCAGTGAAGTCATAATGTTAAGTCCTTTCTATGTAGGATAAAGCAATTTGAAGAGTTGTGAAGCATGTGATGATCATCCATTCATCCAACAAATACCCACTGGAAGCCTACCAAGTGCCAAGTTCAGGTTAGGTACTTTTGATTCAGCAACAAACAGCAAAAACATGCTTCCTGTTCTCATGCTGCCTACATCCTAGTAAGAGAAGGAGATCTCAAACACTCCCAGTTTAAAAACAAAACTGTTTTAAATATTTCCTGAACCAAGATGCTGTTAATCCAATTGTGAATGACTTTGTAAGACTAAATTGGTTGCCTTTAGATAACACATTTATCAAGACGGTTTCTAGGATGATGTATGAATAACAGTGGTTAAATGAACAGTTAAGCCACTATGATAAATGAGAGGCAAGTCTTTCTTAGGTGGAAATTAAAAGTGCAGAGGCTAACCCATTCCATGTCATAATTTATTCAAAATACTTTCTACTCAGCTGAAAATAACAAGCCTAGCTGTATTAAAATTGTAATATTGCTTATTTTTGTGGACTAGTGACCTTCTTTAAGGACTAGACATATAATTGTTTACTAGTTTCTGAAAGGCAAAACTAGAAAATCAAGCTAATTGCTCTGTGTTGTACAAATGCATAGTTTTCTGAGAAATTATGTTTCAACAGCTTTTCAGAATGCTTCCAAATACTTTTTTTAGTATCATTTGTATTAGTATTTCACACACAAAAAATCTTCTCAGTTGGCTTTTTATTTCTTTAAGGGCATTTTCATGTTATACTGTAGTTTTTAAACTACGTTATTTAGATGTATTTCAAGTTTACCTGTGTATGATTGAGACTTCCAGATATGCAAAATGTACCCACATGCAGCAAACTAGCAAATAAGCTGTATACCTCGGAATATAATTTCCTTTCAATGAATCGGATTTGACTTAAGACTGCAAGGAAGCCAGGAACCACTTCAGAACTGAAGAGATGTTGACCTTTCTAGCTTGGTATCTATTCCTTGAGGTCTGAAAAGATGAAATAATGTATAACCTCAGGGCAGACAAGTCAGTGTCAGGACACTGAGGCCTTAGCTCCAGCATCCCATTAATTCAGATGTTGTTCCTGTGTCTGTTTTCATTAGCGAAGCAGCAGCTTCCTTCTCCCCACAAGTAGAGCTACCTGACCATCTTGGGTCTCAGCAGGAAAGGGCAGAATGCAGGTGATCCACTTCATTTTAGGTCCAGGAATAGCTTCTCTTTCAAAATAGATCTTATTTATGTAACTAATGACTTGTGTTTCCAAAGGAATGTATTGGAACTAGAAGTATTTTTATTTTATTTTTATATTTTTTTGAGATGGAGTCTCTCTCTGTCACCCAGGCTGGAGTGCAATGACACCATCTTGACTCACTGCAACCTCTGCCTCCCAAGTTCAAGAGATTCTCATACCTCAGCCTCCTAAGTAGCTGGGATTGCAGGCATGCATCACAATGCTGGGCTAATTTTTGTATTTTTAGTAGAGACAGGGTTTCCCTATGTTGGCCAGGCTGGTCTCAAACTCCTGACCTCAAGTGATTGCACCCACTTCAGCCTCCCAAAATGCTGGGATTACAGGCATGAGCAAGCACACCCGGCCTAGAAGTATTTTTAGAGCATGGCAGAAATGAAAAAATATGGTTTATGACTTCAAGGCAATTTTAAACTTTAGGTGAGAACAGTGATCAGATTTATAATCAGGTAAATCTGATGTAGTAATATACGTTAGTTGGCTTATTGACTGTTATAATACACATATCAGTCTGCTTTTTTAATACTGCCTTAAAATCTATAGGATTGCTTTCTTAGACCCAAAGAAAGCATTTTTATTGCTTTTTTCAGTTTTATTTATTTTTGTCATGGTAATACCTATATGTGGCAATCGATAAAATAATATTCTTGAATAGTAACAATGTCCTTGGTTTTCACCCCCAATGCCAGCTCTTTAAAAGAAACTTTTTGTTTTCAGTTCTTAAAAGTCTGAACAAATGCATATACTTCTGTTTCTTGATTTAATCAACTTAGTAAAATATCCATAGCCTTTTTGTTATGAAACATGAGGATTTAACTCATTTTCATTAACTTTCCAATTTGATTGTTGGGTTATTAAAATACACAAGCAATAGAAGAAATTAAAATAATGAAAGAGGAAATAAATATATTTTCTCCACCTAAGGATGAGGATATTAGGGATATTAGTGTCCCTGTTTTTTCCACTGTTCTCTCCTCCCTGCTTCTCACAATCTTCTTATTTTCACAAGTTTGTCAATATTTTTACTTTCTTTTGTTTCCATTACTAAGTCTTTTCTGCTTTATCCATAGGTTGATTCTAAATATTCCAAACCAGCAACACCTTTTATGTTACTTTGACAGTGTAAATATTGTTCATAGCTATTCATATTCTAAGATTGCATTTCTTTCCATTCCAATGAATTTCACAAGCTCTGGTGCACTCAGAAAAGAATGTTTCTAAGGGTTGCTGGGTAGATAAATGACTTAATCCATGTAAAGGGCTTAGAACAATTTCTGGTACAGAGAAAAGTCTTCAATAAGCTTGTCCCAGCATTATTATTAGTACTGTATTTCATTGCATCTGAAATGTCACTGACTATAAGCATTATCATTATTTTATGTTCCACAAGAAAGAAAAGCATGCTACCGATTAAACTATATTCCCCAGGAATTGTGAGACAAACTTCAGAGTTATTAAAATGTGCAGAAATGATTTTTTTTTTTTTTTTTTTTGAGACGGAGTTTCACTCATGTTACCCAGGCTGGAGTGCAATGGCGCGATCTCGGCTCACCGCAACCTCCGCCTCCTGGGATCAGGCAATTCTCCTGCCTCAGCCTCCTGAGTAGCTGGGATTACAGGCACGCACCACCATGCCCAGCTAATTTTTTGTATTTTTTTTTTTAGTAGAGACGGGGTTTCACCATGTTGACCAGGATGGTCTCGATCTCTTGACCTTGTGATCCACCCGCCTCGGCCTCCCAAAGTGCTGGGATTACAGGCTTGAGCCACCGCGCCCGGCCAAAATGTGCAGAAATGTATCTTAGAATCAGTGAAATATATTCTTGTTTTGTTATTTTGTGTGTGTGTGTGTGTGTGTGTGTGTGTGTGTGTGTGTGTTCTCCTAAAGCTTTTGGTAGCCTTTCTTGGCAAGAGAGCAATGTGCCTTTACCATATCTGTTTGGTGTCCATGAGATTTCCATGCTAGTTTCCTGCTACAGTTTAGACTGGTTGATTTACCTTAAACCTAAGTTAATACCCCCACCCTGAGGTTTCCCCTGCGTTGATCCACTGTTCTCTGGATTTCATGTTCACTCCTTTTTTCCCCTCGTTTTGGTGGAATCCATCAAATAATTTCCCAAGAAGGGGTTGGTAGGAAGTAAATTTTGGAGTCCTTAAATTGCTGAAAATTTCTTTCCTCTAATATGACTTAAAAAAAAAAAACACAGATGAGATCTCAGTCTTACTATGTTGCCTACGCTGGTGTTAAACTCTTAGACTCAAGCAGTTCTCCTACCTCCGTCTCCCAGAGCGCTAGGATTATAGGCATGAGCCACCATGCCCAGCTCTCTGATATAATTGAAAGAGATGCTTAATACTTATTCCTTTTGCAAGGGTTATATCTACAAAAACTCTCAAATCTCTTTGATAATTTTAATTATAATTTTTTAAAAAGTGATCATCTGTTCTTGAGTGATCTTTTCCTTCAGATTTCCTTTTCTTTTTCCCTCATTTTTCTCTGATTCTGCCAGTTTGCTTCTGATGCCTTGTGTACTTGTTTGTTCATATTTAAGAATGCAGGACAAATCTGGTGTGGTTTTCTGCTGCAGTTGTGTAAATAGGTTTATGTCCCAATAGGCCTGAAAGTAGGATGGGGATATGTTGATTGGCAGGGCTCCCTTTCTAGAGCAGGTAGAGAGCTGGCACTTGGCCAGCAGGCCTCCAATGACAGGGCTCAGATACTAGTACCCAAGTTAGAGGTCTTCGCTCTCCCACGTAATGGGTACCATTTCTGTAGCAAAGTTCTTTCTGATTTTTTTCTGGAAAGGTGCTGGGGTAGGATAGTGGGGAGTAGGATGTACTGGCTGGTACAGCCATTATCAATTTTTTATTAGTCTCCTAGTTTCAGATCCACTTGTTACTGCCACCCTCTCTTACTGGTTGTCCCTAAGCCTGGAGCCTTTCCAAGGTTCCAACAGATGATTGGCTTCCACCTTAGATGCAGCCCCACATGGTGTGATCTAGTCCCTCATATTGTCAGGTGCAGTCCCCTGACCATTGGCATCACCTGGGGGCTTGCTTAAAATGCAGAATTTCAGGCCCCAGGAGACCTACTGAATCAAAATCTGCATTTTAATAAGGTCCCTGAATGATTTTATTCCTTTTAAGATTTGAGAACAGTTCAAGACTACAGTTTCATTGCTGTATCTTGATTTTTAACTCATGCTATCAATTCTCTCTTCTCCAAAGCTTTGTTAGAATCCTCGTTAGGTGACAACTCCTGACCCATCAAGCTCCAGACACCCTTCTTTTTTTATGAGATGGAATGTCACTCTTGTCGCCCAGTCTGGAATGCAGTGGTGCGATTTCGGCTCACTGCAACCTCTGCCTCCTAGGTTCAAGTGATTCTCCTGCCTCAGCCTGCCGAGCAGCTGGGATTACAGGTGCCTGCCACCACACTCAGCTAATTTTTGTATTTTTAGTAGAGACAGGGTTTTACCATGTTGGCCAGGCCGGTCTCAAACTCCTGACCTTAGGTGATCCACCTGCCTCGGCCTCCCAAAGTGCTGGGATTATAAGCCTGAGCTGTCACACCTGGCCCGGACACCATTCTCGAACCTTTTGCTAATCAGATATCAGAACATTCCTGGGCAGTAGTTACTGAGGGTGGAGGTGGGGGCCAACATAATGATGAAACATTGAATTCTGAAACATGTAGTTGGTCCCAATGAATAAAGTTCAGGCATTTTCTCTTACAGCAAAATTTCATAATTAAATTGTGGATAATGTGATTGATTGATTAAGGAAGTTGATATGTCTAATGCAGATTACCATTAATTATAATTCACCCTACTGTCACCCTGAGACCCAGCTTCTCTGAGGGCCTTTGGGCTTTGTGTATTATAATTCTGAAGGCGACAGGAATATGTAAGAACTCTGCTGTGTTACTGATGATGGTGATAAGGAAAAGAAGGTCTATAACTCATCAGCAAACTCTAAATGCATTGAAATGCTGGATTTACGTGGTGATGGTTTAGCTTTTATGGCTATATACTTAAAGCAATAAAAACAACTTTTAGTATTGGAATTCATATAGGAAAAAATTATTTTGCTGTTATATATTTAAAACTGTAACTTTAATTCCTCTTATTTTTTATAGAAATATTCTTTTTAATTCAATACTTGATGTTTTTTTTTTTCTTTAAGGAATGTAACTGTCACGTTAGACTGCATATTGCTCTTAAAAAGTAGTATGAGGACAGGTGTGGTGGCTCCTGCCTATAATCCCAGCCCTTTGGGATTCTGAGACCGGAGGATCACTTGAGCCCAGGAGTTTGAGACCAGCCCCGGCAACATAGAGAGACCTTGTCTCCATCTCAAAAAAGAAAAGAAAACAAAATTTTCAGTGTGTGGTAGTGCGTACCTGTGATCCCAGCTACTTTGGAGGCTGAGGTGGGAAGATTTCCTGAACTCAGGAGGTTGAAGCTGCAGTGAGCTCAGATCATACCACTGCACTCCAGCCTGGGCCACAGAAGGAGATCCTGTATAAAAAAAAGAAGCAGTATATTAGTTAAGCATAGAATTTAGGTCAAGACTGCTTGGCTTTAACACTTCTACCTGTGTACTTTGGGCAAATTACTTAAGCTTTCTGGTCCTCAGTTTTGTCATCTGTAAAATAAGGAAAGTCATGGTGTGTTTTAATAGGGTCATTGTAAGGAACAAGTTAATAAAAGTAAAGCACTTAGAGAGAAATGCCTGATACATAGTTAGTGATCAATAACTATTAGCTGCTGATACCATACGTTGGAAGTGCTTTGGTAGCAAAGCAGGGTGGGAATTGTAGTTTTTATTTGTCATCCTGGTTCAGTATTTTAAAATAAGACAGTAAAATAACCTTAGTAGAAGAGAGGTAGCCTGGATAAGATAGTGCTAAAACCTAGAAAATTCCCTTTTGGTGGCAATTGATTGGATCTGAATAGCAGCCACAGTCTGAAATGGGGCAGGTGGTTTTCAGGTAATGGGACAATGGAATGCCATGTGGTAGAAAGAGTGAGGATGTCTGTATGTACTGAATGGACTTGTGTCCATTTTGCCAATATCGTGCAAAACCTGTCAGAACTATGTATATAATAGCCGATTTTTGTAAGAGAAAAAAACTTACTGAGATATAATCCATACCATAAAATACATCCTTTAAAGTGTACAATAAAAAAAATAAAGTGTACAATTTAGTACACATAGAAGAAGGTTGTCAAGGATAACCCTAAATGGTTTATGGTAGTTGCTCCGGAAGAGTAGGAATTGAGAGAGTTTTGAGGTGGGATACTTTTTATTCTATATACTTTTTTGGTTTTAATTTTTATAATGATGTGTATTGCCTTTTAAAATTAAACTAAAAATAAAATATTGTTACATGACAGAAAGCAAGAAAGCATGACAGAAAGTGAAAGTATTAATATTTATAGATCACTGCTAACTTGAGTGAAAATATATGAATATCCCTATGTTTTAAAACTCTTATATTAAATATGGTGGAAACACATAAAAAGATGCTTAAGATTGTTAGAGAAATGCAAATTAAAACCACATTGAGGTAGCACTTCACACCACTAGGATGCCTGCAATCAAAAGTCAGACTGCAACACATGTTGGCAAGGATGTAGAGAAACTGGACCTCCATACATTGCTGGTGGAGTTGTAAAATGTCACAGCTACTTAGGAAAACAATTTGATTGGCAGTTCATCAAAAAGTAAAAATGTTTAGCAAATGACCTATAAAGTTCACTCCTAGGTATATGCCCAGGAGAACTGGGCACACATCCCTTATTTGCACCAGTCGATGTTATTGTCAGGGTTCCAACTCTGCTGGGTGGTAAAACTAAACTGCAGGTTCTGAATAGACATCAATAACTGCCTTGAATGTGAAGTTCACACAGCTTGGCCCATAACTAGTTCCCAGCCACAAAGTAAAAGGCCGTGGAGGGGGTCAATGAAAGCTGAAAATTATCTTATACAAGGTGATGACAGATTTAACAGCAGCTGGACCTCATGCCCATGTTTGTTTTGGGAGGGGGCTTAGATTATTGGTCTAAAAACTAACGAAATTTTTGGATGTCCTGGTCCATTAAAATAAAAAAAACCTAATGAAATTTGAAGGAAATATTCTATAATTTGGGTGGATAAAGAGTTTATGTCTGACCAGGGATGGAGGAGTGGAGTGGTACCATATTTGTTTTTTGTTTTGTTTTTTGGACAGGATCTTCCTCTATCACCCAGGTTGATCTTGAACTCCTGGCTTCAAGCAGTCCTCTCACCTTTCCCTCCCAAAGTACTGGTACAGGTGTGAGACGCCAAGCCTAGCCTATATTTCTAGAGTTAGTAAGTAAAACAAGTTGTCAAGGTACAGAGATGGGCAGAAATTAAGGGCTTTAGACAAATCTTGTGGCAGAATACCTTCCTCAAGCACCAACTGCAAGGGAGACTTGTCTGTTATGGTTTTTAGAGACAGCAGGGTCTTGCTCTGTCACCCAGGCTGGAGTCCAGTGGCACGATTCGTTCACTGAAGCCTCGAGCTCCGGGACTCGAGCAATCCTCCCACCTCAGCCTCCTAAACAACCAGGACTACAGGCATGCACTACCATATCTGGCTACTTGTATTGTTTTTTGTAGAGACAGGGTCTCATTACATTTCCCTAGCTGGTCTCAAATTGCTGTCCTCCAACAATCCTCCCACCTCAGCTTCCCAACATACGGGGATTACAGATGTGAACCAGTGAGCCCAGCCAACAGAGACTTTTAAATGTAGTATAGCTGGAAAGTTCTGGAAAGTGGGAAAACAGATTTTGTTGGACAGCAGCAATTTCTGCCAAATTTTTTCCAATTTACTGAGGTATAATCCATACCATAAAATACATTCTTTAACGTGTACAATTAAAAAAAAATAAAGTGTGCAATTCAGTGGTTTCAAGTATATTGTTGTACTGCCATTACCACTGTGTAATTCCCGAACATTTCCTTACCCCATTTTCTCTCTTACTCCCTCCTCAGCCCCTCAGAGCCACTAGTCTATGCATTTGCCTATTCTAGACATTTTATGTTAGTGGAATTGCACAATAGGTGACCTTTTGTATGTGGTTTCTTAGCATTATGTTTCAAGATGTATCTGTGTTATAGTATCTATCAGTACTTCATTTCTTCTTACAGCTGAATAACATTCTTCATATATAGACATATCACACTTTATCCATTCACAAAGTCATGGGCATTTGGGTTGTTTCTGCTTTTTGGCTATTATGAATAATGCTTTGCTATGAATAGTCATATACAGGTTTTTGGGTGGATATGTTTTCAGTTCTCTTGGGCATATACCTCAGAGCGAACTTGATAGGTCATATACTAACCATTTTAACTTTTTGATGAACTGCCAATCAAATTGTTTTCCTAAGAGTCTGACATTTTACATTCCCACCAGCAATGTATGGGGGTCCGTTTCTCCACATCCTTGCCAACATGTGTTGCAGTCTGAGTTTTGATTATAGTAATCCTAGTGGTGTTAAATGGGACCTCATTGTGGTTTAAACTTGCATTTCTCTAACAATCTTGCATCTTTTTATGTTTCTGCCATATTTAATATAAAAGAGTTTTAAAACATAGGGGCATCATATATTTTCACTCAAGTTAACAGTGGTTACTAAATATTAATGCTTTCACTTTACCTGTCATACATAAATAAACCTGTTACTGACCTCCTTTCTTCATTTCTCAAAGTGATTGATAGAAACAGAATTTTATTAATTTCCTTATAAAAGGACACATAACTATGATAATAATAGAAAAACAATTAGATACAAGATAATACATACTAAAGTGACGAAGCTATAGCACTGAGTGATAAAGCTCAGTGCTTTCCAAGATAGTCACGCAGTGATCCATTTTGGTGCCAGCAGAAATGGATTACCTGATTTTTATTTAAGAAAGAAATTAAGCTAGCCAAGTGCAGTGGCTCACGCCTGTAATCCCAGAACTTTGGGAGGCCAAGGTGGGTAGATCACCTGAGGTCAGGAGTTCGAGACCAGCCTGGCCAACATGGTGAAACCCCATCTCTACCAAAAACACAAAAATTAGCCGGGTGTGGTGGCACACACCTGTAATCCCAGCTACTAGGTGGAGACATGGGGGGTTTGGCGGGGTTGAGGCAGGAGAATCACTTGAACCCGGGAAGTGCGGGTTGCAATGAGCCGGCATCATGCCACTGGCACTCCAACCTAGGTGACAGAGTAAGACTCCCTGTAAAAAAAAAAAAAAAAAAAAGAAATTAAGTTTTACTAACCTTTAATACATTGATTGGCAATAGGACTTCTACATAGTGTAAATAAATACACATATTCTGGGGCTGTTGTTTAAAAACATTTTTATATATGGGGTATACAATAAAAAAAGCTGGGACCTCTAGGACAATAAATGAAATGACTGATTATAGTTGAGAATTTTTTAAAAAATAACTCAGTTATTAATTTTCCACCTTTCATTTAGCAGGGAAAATAATACTTATTCTAGTGTGTACTGTTTCTATGAATGACTTTAGAGTTTGATTCAAAGAATATAAATGTATCTTCTTTAAAAATAGTGCCTGAAATTAAATTTTACAGAATATTTTTAGTCTCTAAGGTATATTAAGATTTATGTTACAAAGTATTTTTTTAACACTTTGTATACTGTTAGAATTAATACTATTAAATTATTCTGTGTTATGGAAGGTAGTCATTATCATAACTGAAAGAAAAGCTTTATTTTCCTGTTTTGCCTGTACTTAAAAATGGGTATAGAATGCTAATCCATATAGGAAAATACCTAATTTTTTTTCTTTATAGTGTCATGGAACAACACAATTATTTTTTTCTAATAAACTTCTCAAAAATATGTTTTGCTATTGTCCACTGACCCACTTAGAAATCAGCATCCTCCTGTCCGTTAGGTTATTACTTCTCGGGTGGAATGTAATGAATATTAATAGCCTAACTCAGAAGAGAAGGAGGTAATTTATTATAGTTCTGTGCATTTCCATTTTTATGTTATCTGTTTTCCTTTTGCTTTATGTGCCATACATCTTTTGTTTCACATTAATAATGCCTTTTTAAAATTTTTAATATGCATTTTTAGTAAAAGATGCCTTCATATTTTGATCCCTACTGATTAAGATAAGCAGTCATGTAAATTGAGTGTAAATTTAAAGGCAGGAATGGTTTCTAATCAGATGTTTGTAATAACCGTTTCTGTTGTGGTATAGTAATAGTATTTCATCTCTTAAATTCATCAGATGTGACCTGGAATGTTTTTTAAGAGTTTGTTCTTAGTCATTGCGCCATAAAATTTCAGTAAACTTGTGAAAATCACTTTCAGATACTCAGTTCTGTCATAATGATGAACTGTTAACTGTTAACAAAGGTGATCTTATTTAACTTCCCAGACTCTTCTTCAGTCTGCAGTCATATGCTGTTGGCTCTTTTTGATTACTACCCGCAAAATAGCAATAATTATAGCTAACACTTCTAGTGTGCTTATTATCTCACTAATTACTTATGTTAACTCAGTTCTCACAACTCTCTGAAGATAGGACAGTAATTAACTCCATTTTACAGATGAAGAAACTAAGTCACAGGAAGATTGGAGTTATTGGAGGTCACATAGCAAGAAGGTGGGAAAACTGGAATTTTGACCCAGGTGGTTCGATTCTCAAATTTATGCTCTTAACCACTACGCTCCCTTGCCGTGGTGAGGCTTCTCTTACATGTCTCACCACCCTCCCTCTTGGCCGTTCTAGGACGTGGACCAACTTTCTCTCAGTTTACTTTATTCCTGCAAACCCTTCATTGCCAAAGCTTCTCCTGCTCTTCTTTTTCTTGTTCCAATCTCTTTGTTGTCTCCACAAGGATAGATGGAAATAAAAGTGTTTAACATGTACAGATGTGCTTAAAACAACCTACCATGTTAAGATGCTGAATATGTTTTTGTTGAATGTTGAACCAAACATGCAAATAGTAAAGTTTCTAGAAATGAAAAAGGAAATCACTTTCATTTTCTCTGTTTTCTTTTGGCTTTGTATTTTTCTTATGTAGTTTTAGTGTTTCTGATAGTCAAGTTAATTCACTTATTTGGCACAAATTAATGAGTGCCTGCCATGTTTCTTGAACCATGGATAAAACAGTGGGGAAAAAAAGGTTCCTTACACTCTAGTCTGAGCTCCTCATAGAGCTTACTTACGTTATAGACATTAATCAACTAGTCATACAAATAGATAATTATAAATTGTTAGACACACTGTGATAGAAAAAGCAGAGAATCAGTTGATGTAAGAAGAGGGTAATGGCAGATTTTTTTAAGGAAGTGACATTTGACTTGAGAATGAAGGATGAGAAGTTTGGAAATGGAGGCCAGGAGTGTATTCCTGAGAGAGGAGCCAGCTCGTGCAAATGCTTTGAGAGAGAAGATGCCTTAAGATACTGAAAGGAAACCATATTTGAAAACTTGCATTGAGGTCACTATCGTTGGCATGGAGGAAACCATGTGAGCTTGGTTTCAGATGGGACTGGTGAGGTGACCAGAGCCTTGTGGGAGATACTGAAGATTGAACTTTCGCTTAAGGGCAATAGGAATTCAGGAAAGGAATTTGAACAGGGGAGTGACGTGGACAAACTGGGAATCCAGAAAGTCACACACTCAGGCTGCTGTATGGAAAACATTTTGAATGAGGGGGCAAGAGTGAGCATAGGGAATTCTCAGTAGCTAAATAAGGAATTTCTGTGTCACTCACAGACAGTAAATCCAATGCCAAACCCTTATTCAAGTCTTAAAATCTATAATTTTATATGATCAAAAGGAATACACCAGAAATATCCAGGCATTACTGTGTTAATAGTAGTTTTTCTCTTGAACATGTCACAAAGCAGTATATCCTGAGAAAAAAACAAGACACAAAAGAAAACTGAAGTGTATAATTAAGTCAGAATAGACTAGACTCTTGGTAATTAAAGAGTCCTATTTTTAGGCCAAGCATGGTGGCTCACGCCTATAATCCTAGCACTTTGATTTTGGGAGGCCTGGGTGGGAGGATTGCTTGAGGCCAGGAGTTTGAGACCAGTCCAGCATAACATAATGAGACCCCATATCTACAAAAAAATTTAAAAATTCACTGAGTGCAGTAGTGTGTGCTGTAGTTCCAGCTATTGGGAAAACTGAGACAGGAGGATCGCTTGAGCCCAGAAATTTGACATTACAGTGATTGAGCCACTGCACTCTACCCTGAGTGACAGAGCAAGACTAGTGCAAAAAAAAAAAAAAAAGGAAAGAGAAAAGTAATATCTTAAATTAAAATTTCAAATTGGAAAGCTATGCATCAAAGTACATCCAATGGCTATCTTTGGATGATAGATTTATGAACAGTTTTTACTTTCTTCGTACTTTTTGTATTTTGGGGAAATTTTTATATTAATCATAAATTGTGTTTATGATAAAATGAATGAAGTTATTTTTATTAAGGGAAAATACATCATATAACCTTTTCCTTATGTGTATAGTGACCTTTTAAACTTGTCTGTTTTTTAAACTTTAGATATTCCTAAATTAGAAGATAACGTATGCACAGCAGATTTAAGGGTTTGTAAACTCACTGAAGTGAAATGCAGTCATGGTTGAAATGCTTCTGAACTGTGAAAGGATTCATTTTTAGCTTTGAAAATGATTTAATGTTCAATAAAAACTTTTTTCTGAAGAGTTGGTTGTTGAAAACAATGAAAGAGCATGTGTAGGTTGTTGAAATAATGCCTGTTTAGAATATTCTGTGCCATCTACTAATGGAGTCATTAAAGAATGAGCTGAAAAGGAGTGCAAAGCTGTGGCTTCATGGCTGAAACTGTGGAAAATGTAAATGTCACATCTATAAGGAATCCATGTATCTTCTACAAGTGCCTTAAGTCAAGGGAAGTGAGAGTTAAAAAACAAGTTTCTTTTTGGAAATTGTATATGATGTCTTGTATATCAAAGTCTGATGGCAGCAGCTCACTATATATTTTATGTATTATTCCAGCAGCAGATATTTCAGACATATCAGAAGAAGGTACTCTTGATTCAGTGTCTCTGGCATATAATAAAAAAGTGGGGGAGAAATTTCTGCAGCCTCTAATAAGCAGTATATCAATGAGTACTGTCAGATTCTGTAGAAAAGTCCACAACATGATTTATTACATTAATTACAGTCATATGGGTTTCATGCTGCTAAGCCTGCAAATGCAGCTACATTCTAAAGTTGATTTAAGAATATATTTTGGCTGACACGAAAGTGCTTCTTATTGTGATTAATATAGTACGGTATTTTTTCTCTTGTTCTACTCTTCTTTCATCTTGGCTCTAGTACAGAATGCTTAATTTTTTTTCTGTGACTTGGAACTGGAATTCAGTTTTAGTTTTGAGGCACTTCACCCAGTTTTTATCCACACCTGTCGTCTGGTCTCCTTTTTGCCTTTTTGTGTCTTCGTAGGTTCACCTAATGTTGCATCTCCTCCACGTGTGAAGCCTGTTTGAATTCACCAGGGCTGTCCTCAGGGTTATTAGGTCATACCAGCAACACTGTGTCTCTTTTTGAGGGAAGGGAACCATTGAGGAAGAATTTCATTTTCTTTTTCTTTTTTTTTTTTTTTGATCATTTTCTTAATTCAAAAAAGCAGCATTTTTATTTTAATTTTTATTTTTTAATTTTTTTAAAAATTTATTGCATTGTAGGTTTTGGGGTACATGTGAACAACATGCAAAATTGTTGCATAGGTACACACATGGCAGTGTGATTTGCTGCCTTCCTCCCCTTCACCTATATCTGGCATTTCTCCCCATGCTCTCTCTCCCCAACTCCCCACCCCCTGCTGTCCCTCCCCTCTTGCCCCTCGACAGACCCCAGTGTGTGATGCTCCCCTCCCTGTGTCCATGTGTTCTCATTGTTCAACACCCACCTATGAATGAGAACATGCGGTGTTTGATTTTCTGTTCTTGTGTCAAGGAGCAGTTTTAAAGGAGAGCATTCTATGATTCTACCCTTGTTTAGAACTGTACTGAATTCATACAGTCACACAGTGTTTCTTCTTACAGTGACACAATTAGCTTATAAAATCACAGAATTTTCAATTTTATGGCATAGAAGGTCACCTAAAAGCTGTTTAGATATAGATATTACTCTGATTGTTTAGAATATCCTGTCCATGGCAGGATACTCTTTTATATTAAATACATGAATGCCTGACTTCAGTAGCCTTTGTGGAATCTAGCTTGGAATAATTAGCAAATATGTGCCAAAAATTAAAGTAGCAATAGAGGAGGAGCCCGGGCTAGGTAGGAAGACTTTGATTTCATGGGTTGGAACACATTTTTGAAGCAGCAATATGTTTAAAGGGTTGAGCTAGATGACTTAAATGTCCAACACTGAGCTAAGTGGTTTACTTTCCTATTGTATTTGATCTTCCTACAACTCTTAAAACATAGGTACAGTTTATACCTATTTTACAATGGAAGAAACCACGGCTAAGGTCTCAGAACTTTCGTAGATACACATAGTTCGTTAAGTGGCAGAGCTGGGAGTTGAACACAGGAATTCTTGTTGGCAGAACTGTAGCCTTTAAGCATTGGCTATGCTACCTATGTCAGTTACTCTGAAAGGGGTCAGATAAGCATTGCAAAAAGGTCTTTGTCCATTAGGTAGACAGTTTTGAACTTAAGGATAACTTTAGAGAAGTTAAGAAAGAAAATTTCTGAATCGAATGGGTTTCAAAAAGAGATACTTCTTTAACTCATTTTTTTGTCTAATAATGGGACCAGTGAGACCAGCATGATTTTTATAGTATTTTTCACTGAACAAAAATCACTTAAATAAACATTATTTGGCAACTGTTCTGCCTGGGAAATAAAAACTTTCAGGCCAGAAAATCTGCTATTCCAGCAGTGTGGCTAAAGCTTATTTGAAAGGAGGAGGCATTTTCTAGATCTTCTGGGGGACTGTGTCTCAAAGAGGGTCTTAGAAGACCACACTTAGATGGTTCTAAAATATTAGAACCATCTGGGGACTTCGTAAAAATGCAGACTCCTGCATCCTTTGGCCATAAATTGATTCCCTGTTCTGAGGATGTGCAAAGCCAGTGCCTGGTCTTCTGTGCACATGTGATGTCTCACCCCTACCTTCCAAAACACACAGCGCCTGATTTAATGAATATACGAAGACCACAGTTGATACAGATGAGAAAGTGGAGGAAGTTTTCTCCCTGTTCATTAGGACCCTGTATTGGTTTAATAAGTACTGGTAAATTCTGTGTTCTATTTCTGTTTTCTAAATTTTTGTTAAGGAGAAAATTCCTCAGAGGCTATAGAGTCACATAGCATACATCCAAGAGAAATGAGCAGATGATTCATGTTTGTTTAAGTGATTCTGCTTCAGTGAAAAATACCATCAAAAATCGGACTGGACTAACATACTATTGTTTGAAATTTTAAAGCTCCTGAATGTGTATGTAAGAAATTTGTTTTACTTCTACTATTGGAAAAGATTAACCAAGCATAAAAATAATTTACTGGTCAGATAGCTATACTAGCATATAAATTGGGCTTCAGTTAGTGATGTTAACTATCCTAGAAAACAGCGTTTGTTTTAAAGTTCTAGGAGAAAGCATAATGTACAAGGAGTTGAGTGTTTAAAAAAGAAAGAAGGTACTGACTTTTTAATACATTTTATGATAGTTACAAGGTTTTTACAATTTTCCACTTCTAAAGTAAATATAGCTCACTGGTTTTTTCCTAATAAATTGC